AGTATGATTCTTCAGTGGATGTCCCTGATTGTGCTATTCTGTAATCTCATGTGTTCTAGCCCTGCAATTGCCCCCTATGTTTTCAGTCTTAGATCCCTCCAGTATTAGAGTGTAAGGTTAGGTTCAAGTGTTATTGGTCATGTATTTGGCAGCATTTTCCATGTGCTTACCCGGTAATATTTATCTGATTTTGCGGTGTAATTCCCATGCTTAGTGCCTGTATTTTGTGGAATTACACTATATTACTTCTTTGCACTGTAATATTTATCTGATTTTGTGGTGTAATTCCCATATTTAGTGCTTGTATTTTGTAGAATTACACTGTATTACTTCTTTGCACTGTAATTCACCTGATTTGCAGTGTAATTCCCATGCTCAGTCATTATATTTTTTAGTTATATTACAGTGTATTTACCTCAGAATTCCACTGTACTTCTGATGAATTTCATGTAGGCTTCTTCATCACACTGTATTATTCCCTTGATTTACTGTGTAATTCCCATGCTTAGTAACTATTTTTTTGGATATATTAATGTGTAATATTCCCATATTTACGTGTTGTAGTTCCCTTGCTTCAAATTTGTAATTATGGTTGTACTGTAATTCCCATGCCTAGTCATTGTATTTTTTAGTTATAGTGAAGTGTAATTTTCCTCAGGTTTCTTGTGTAACTCCCATGATTTTCATGTATGCTTCTTCATCACTCTGTAATATTTCTCTGATTTACTCTGTAATTCCAATGCTTAGTCACTGTATTTTTTGGATATATTACGGTGTAATGTACCCATATTGTAATTCCAATGCCTCATTTTTGTAGTAAAGCTCATATTGTAATTCCCATGCATCGTCACTGTAATTTTCAGCTATATTACAGTGTAATATGGCCTAGTATTACAGTGTAATTTTGGGGTATTGTACTCTGTATTTGCCATGCTTCTCCCATGTAATTCCTGTACAACATTAGTGCATCTTATTTGCAACCATATAGGTCCTGATAAGTTTTCTTATTCTTTGTTGTTAATGTAGTATTTGATTTAGGATTTATGTAGCATTGTTTAAGAGTGTTTTGGTTTTGTAGTTTGAGGAGGGTCCTGGCAACCAGTTTTTTCATGTTTAATGGGTAGGCTATGGAAAGTCTATCATTAGGGCGTTCCGTTAGCATCTTCTTTTGAGAGTGCAGATTGTTTTGCTGACGAACCATTTGCGCCTGTCAATGGTAGCTATTTCTTTCTTTTTCTCTACTTTTTTTCAATTATTATTTCTTGAAGTCTGTTTATTTATTTTGTGTCTGTTGTATTTTGCATTTTTCAGGAACTTTCAGGTGATGAAGCAGACTTTGACCAAGCTCTTTTCAAGTTTTATGTGAACCAAGCTCATTATTTCTCTTTTTTGCTTGTTGTTCTTGAGGATGCTACTGTAGCCACTAAAAATCCAACCAATTTTGAGTAGAAATTCATATATGCCTGGGCTTCTTCTTTTGTTTTGAACTACATGCCTAACTGTGGCTTAAAATTGCTGCTGGTGTTCATAAGATTGCCTTCTGATGCAGTCTCTTGTTCATTTTGCAGGAACCTCTCAATGTCTTCTTCATCGAGGTATTCATTGTCTGCGTCTTGTTCATGTGAGTCCTCTGTTTCTCCCCTTTGTCCTTCTTGATTTATCTGGTTTGTGTTTGACTTTGATTTATTTGTTGTGGAACTAGGGTCGGTATCTTCAGGGACCTGCAAAATTATTCTTTTTGTGTCCGTTTTAATTTTCAAACAGGCTTGTACAAATACGTTCATATTCTATTTGTGACTTTGATTTATATTTATGTGGCTACCTGTTCCAAACTGATGTTGTCAAACATGTGTGCCTCCCAGGGATTAGGTTCTGTTGTGCCTTCTTCGCTTGCTGTAGCTTCATGATGCATTTCCTGCAATGTCTGCAGTGTAAGTGAGATGTTACTTTCTCTCTTTTTTCTCAGTTCAGATATGAGTTATTCAGTACTAGTTTTCCTCTCCATCTTGTGTAATGTTTGCAGCACCATCTCCCGAATGTACCTGTGAGCATCATGATTTCTTTTAATTTAAAACTTCTCCTTCTCACAGATTTGTAGCTATGCAGTATTTGAATTTCCATTTTACCTTGTAGATAATGTCTGAATTGAGGAGCGCTGTGAATGAAAATGATTCCCGCAAAACATTTTTTGTTAGCATGAATGTATTGTATATAGCATTTTCCTCTATTGATTTTTGCAATCAGTTTGCTAGTATGTATACATGTCTCACATTTAGAATGAGTTCTTCTTGTGACATTGACAGTAGATGCTCTCCAGTCACTCTTCCTATCATGCTCCCCATCTGCAATATTGAAGATTAAATGTGAGAGAATTTTAATTTTGTAAGCGGCAAACTGTTATCAGTGATAGCTCTTTTCTCTGCATGTATTTCCTAAGCAGAAAACTGTCAATATTAACTTTTTAAGCTCCAAACTACAAATCATTTTTTAAGGAGCAAAGTGTGAGTTCCTGGTTTTGGACACTGTAAATCCTGGGTGGCATGAGGTGTTTTTACAGTGTAAATCGGTAGTTTGAATGGTAAATGTTGGGTGCTTACTATGTTTATACAATGTAAATTCCAAGGTCTTTGGACTGTATTTGTAATGTATTAAGAATGTAAATTCCAGTGCCATTATACTGAATTTACAGTGTAGATATATGCATTTTTACAGTGTAAATTCCAGGGTTTTAGTACTGAATTTACAGTGCTAAAACTTGGGTATTTACCGTGTAATTATAGGGCCATTATACTGAATTTACAGTGTAAATACTTGTGTATTTACAGTGTAATTACAGGGCCATTGTACTGAATTTACAGTGTAAATACTTGGGTATTTACAGTGTAGTTACAGTACAAAGGCCCTGAATACCTTGGGTATTTACACTGTAAATTCATGCATTTGTACGCTGTATGTTGTAGGGTTTTGCATTATATTTACAGTGTAATTTCCAGGGCCATTGTATTGAATTTACAGTGTAGTTACAGGGTCATTGTACTGAATTTACAGTGTAAATTCCGGGTATTTACAGTGTAAATACCCGGTATTTACATTGTAGGGTGTGTTTGGTAGCATGTATGGACCTAACTTAGTTGTTCTTATCTCATACATGCTGAGTGTAGACATGCTAAGTCCATGCAGTTGCTGTTGTTTGGCAGTGATGTATGCGCTGAGACATGCTGAGCTGAGATTTTGTTTGGCAGCCTGCATGTGTTTAGACATGCTGAACAATTTCGAATTCTGAATATTTTTTTTGAATGATGAACAAAATCGAAAAAAATGTCAACACAAATTTAAATATATTTTGATATTCTAAACTTTTTTGGAAAATTAAAATAAATTTTGAAATTCTGTTTTTTTAATTTGAGCATATTTGAAATTATGAGTTTTTTTGAAAATTTAAACAAAATTTGAATATTTTATAAAAATTAAAATTCTATTTTTTTTCAAAATTCAAACAAATTTTGATTTACTTTTGAAATTCCGAACATTTATGATTTTTTGAGAAAAAATTAAATTTCAGATATTTATTGAAAATCCAAAGAAATTTTGAAATTATGATTTTTTTTGAAAATTTAAAAAAATTTGAAATTCATTTTTTTATTTTTTCTGAAATTCTAAAGTTTTTCGAATATTTAAACAAAATTTGAAATTTTGATTCTTTTTGAAAAAATAAACATATCCGGACATGGTCTAGTCGGTGGGGACGAGTGTCAGGGCCAGCATAGCTGCCCCTATGCACCCTGTCTGGAGTGCATGAGATGAGCATGGCTGAGGGCACTTTTATGCATCAGATGAGCATAGCTCAGGTGAGCCCATGCACCCTACCAAACAAGTAAAAGTGGGTCGGATTAGGAACTTTTGCCCTCATACACCCTCCATCCACCCTACCAAACATACCCGTAAATACCGGATATTTACAGTGTAATTACAGTACAATCACCCTGAAAAACACTGTAAATACATGCCTTTGTATAGTGTATGTTCCAGGGTTTGTATTTACAGTGTAAATTCCAGGCCATTGTACTGAATTTACAGTGTAAATACTTGGGTATTTACAATGTAATTACAGTACAATGACCCTGAATACCTTGTGTATGTTCCAGGGTTTTGCATTGTAATTCCATGGGTTGGTCCCTGTTTGGTGTCAAGTTGTTTTGTGGTTATACAGGTGTTATCTGTTCATTTGTGAGGAAATTTGAATGTTGCCGGATTGAAAAACAGTCAAGTGTCAAATAGACACTCCCTATGTTTATACAGTACTATATTAAAGAAGGAAGGAAATAAAAGACGACACGACCGGTTCAACCAACTACAAGTTCGGCAAAGCAAACAAAGATCGACGTGACCATCCGTCCATACATCCAAATCCAAAGCTTTTAGAATTCAGAAACAAAAGACAAATACAAGTCCTAGCCAGGTGTACGGACGGCATAGCAAGTACGTATATCCAATCA